ACAACAAAGATATCTATGCAAGAGATAATATCATTACTCCACACCAAGTGGGAATGCCACAAGCATGAGGGCAGAGAGAGTGGGTACTATGCCAAGAGCGGCAGGGGCAGTAAATGTAAGGCTGATCATCTGGGCCCATGTGACATATGTGGTCGCACCAACCACAGAACCTCCAAATGCCACTTCAAGAACAAACCCAAATGCAGACACTGCTGATGGTTCAGCCACACCACTCAGGAGTGTTGGACCAACCCAGATAACAAGGATAAATGGCAAAGACAGAGATCTAGAGACTGAGATAGAGATCAGGATAGGAAGCAGTCTAGTAAACACTCCAGATGATCAGATAAGCTGCATTGTGTGGTGGAGAATACAGACTCCAAAGACAATGTAGCATTCTCCTCTACTAAAAGTGTAGATACAAAGTCCCCCAAATCAGAGACCTATTCTGCATAGGTGTGGTTGGCTGATAGTGCTACAACATCACATATCTGTGCTCATCATGAAGCATTCACTACCTACAAGGTACTACTGGACAAAACAGTCTCCAGAATAGGTACCAAGCTGGCTGCTGTACCTGGACATGGCACATTCACAGTGAATAGTCAAATAGGTGACTGGACAGTCACTGTCAATCTACACAATGTGTTACATGTGCCATCATTGCCTAATAACTTATTCTCAATTGGCTGCTTAGGTGCACAAGGTGGCTGCTCCATTAGTGGAGGAGGTCAGATCGAGTTGTGCAATTCCTCAGGGGATGTCATCACACTGGGGAAGCAGAAAAACCATTTGTATGAACTACAATTTACAATACCTACAAGGAGCAAGCAAACCAGTCTCACAGATGAATCAACCTCATGGAAGACATGGCATAAATGCTTGGCCATATCGGGATAAGCAGACTATGCCACCTGTTCTGTAAGAAGTTAGTAAAAGGGTTCAAAGTCAATCCAAACTTGCCTGATTTCAATTGCAAAGCATGCATTGCCACTAAACAGACATGTGAACCTCACCCATCTGAGGCAACACAACAAACCTCAGTGTCAGGAGTTAACTCATACAGATGCATGGGGACTGTCATGTATGACATCCATCCAAGGTTATTGATACTACATATCATTTATAGACAATGCAACAAGATACACTACAGTCTACTACATGAAACACAAAGGGGAAGCCACAGAATGCATCAAAGAATACATGTTGATGATGGAAAGACAGAGAGAAATATCCCCTAAGAGAATCAGATGCAACAATGGAACTGAATACATCAACAACATGCTGACAACATGGTGCAAAGGGAAAGGAATATTGTTAGAACCTATGGCACTGTACTCACCATCCCAAAACAGTGTGGCTGAGCAATCCAATCACACCATTGTAGAGCTAGGATGGGCAATGCTACTAGTAAGAGACATGCTGAAATTCCTGTGGTGTGAAGCCATAAATCATGCAGTTTATGTGTGGAATTGCACATGGACATGCACCTGTGATAGAACACCATATGAGGGATGGCATGGGTGAGAGCCCAATGTATCACACTTGCAAGAGTTTGGGACACACATTTGGATCCTTGATGAACACCAAATGATCTCCAAGTTGGATGTGAGATCACATGCATACCTGTTCATGGGCTTCCTAGATGGCCCATGCACTGTTCAGTATTTTGACATGCATACAAGACAAACCTGCACCTCAAGGAATTATCAATTCCATCCAGAAATTAACTTGCCTCCTCGAGACCTGCTGCTTGCAGGGGGAGACACTGGAGGCAAGGAAGAAAGAACTGTCAGTGATAAGGCAGAATAAAAATGGAAACAAATAGAGTCACATGACAAGCCCAAGAGGCAAAGTAAAAGGGCCTGGACATTACACAATTACAACATGTTGAATGATCCATTACCTGATGTGGACAAATTACTAAATGATGAGCAAACATCAGAGAATTGCAAGCTCTCATCAGCAGAGCAAGTGTATTTGGCATTTAATGAAAGTACATTAGGGGAAGGCGACCCCAAGACACTACAAGAGGCTAAAGCTTCACTTGAGTGGCTGGAATGGCAAAAAGCCATAGAAGCTGAATTACAACAATTGTGTGAAAAAGGAACATGGATATTAGTGGATCCACCAGAAGGGTGAAAGCCTGTGTCGAATAAATGGGTGTTTACCTGAAAATATGACAGGGATGGGATACTCCAAAAATACAAGGCAAGATTAGTCACCAGGGGGTATTCCCAGGTCCTGGGAATGGATTACAATGATACCTATTCCCTGGTCATTAGATTAGAAACAATATGCCTTATCTTGTCATTGGCCAACACCCAAAACTGGGAGATCCAACAAATGGATGTGAAGGGTGCATATTTAAATGGCAAATTAAAAGAAGAAATATATATGGAGCAGCCCAAGGGTTTCAACAATGAAACTGGATGCCTATGCAAATTAATTGAAACATTGTACAGACTGAAACAATCCAGATGAGAGTGGAATGAAGAGCTAAATGGTCAATTACAGACCATTGGCTTCACTCAACTCCGACCCCTGTGTATACATAAGAAAAACCTCGACTACAATTGAGATCATTATGGTATGGGTAGACAACCTAGTACTCGTCACCAACACTGCCAAACTCATGACTAAACTAAAAATACAACTACAAAATATGTTTGAGGTAACAGACCTTGGAGACCCAAGTAAGCTAGTTGGGATTGAGATCACACAAAACCACACCAGTGGAACAATCACCCTCAGCCAGACACACTATATAGAGGGATTACTACAAAAATATGGAATGAACGATGCAAATCCAGTCAAAACTCCACTTGATCTGTGCACACAGCTAAGTCCATGTGACACTGAGGCTGAAGGGGTACCTAGTGGCGATTATGCAACACTCATAGGACACCTAATGTATGCATCAGTGGCCATGAGGCCTGACATAACATATGTGGTCAATAGACTTGCATCCTTCACAGCAAATCCTGACCTGTCCCATTGGACAGCAGCAAAAAGAATACTAAGATACCTAGCAGGAACTAAGAGCTACAGGATCACCTACAAAGCTGACCCAGCTCATCCTGAATACAATAAACTAATTATGTATTCAGATGCCAACTTCACTAATGACAATGATCAGATATCAATCTCAGGCTATGTATCTGTCTTCAACCAAGGCACAGTCATGTGGTACTCAAAGAAACAGAGTCACATAGCCCTCTCTATGGCAGAAGCCAAATACATATTGATGGCAAATGCAATGCATGAAATCATATGGCTACAAAGCCTACTAAGTGAACTAAACTGCACACAATTAGAAGCTACAATGCTTTATGGCAACAATCAGTCAGCACTAGCAATTGCAAAAAATGCGCAGTATCACCAATGATCAAAACACTTTGACACCAAAAATCATTTTATTTGCAACTGTGCAAAAAGGGGAATAATTAACTTAAAATACTGCCCTATGGTCAAAATGATATTTTCACCAAAGCATTAACCAGACCAAAACATGAACATAACAGAGAAGCCTTGGGCATGACCCTGGCTTGAGGGGGAGTGTAGAAATACCAACCTGTCATCACACCCAAATAAGGAAATGATGATGTGCAGAGAGTGCAGGACACATGTCATAACCCCAAGAAAGGGACAAGCAAAGTAAAAATACAAAGGCAGGAGTAGGGGTGGATGCACCCCAACAGATGAGATATCAAATGTACAATGTAGATATAAGGTAGCTACCACAGGGGGAAGAATCCCCATGAGATGAGAACATCACCTCGTCGACCCACTTCCCTATCTGAACACACTGAGTCCTGAGCCAGCCATCCCTGCACATATCTTTGCTCACACCTAATCACTCCCACATCAGCCACTGCACTCACATCATCCCTAACACTGTGTATGATGATTGTTGTGCTGGGTCAGCAGACCTTGAAGGCTCCATGCTGGTATGTTGTGCAGACTCTGTTTGCAAGCTTGTTGAACAGTATCTGTATTTGACATTGAAGCAACTTAGAGCTATTGCCAGTCATCACAATTTGGTTCTGCATAGTAACTTGCTTTGAGTGATGTGTGTTGATGCATTACACACTCATCATTGTATGGTTTCCTGTCCTTCACTGGTGTACATGTTCCACTGGAGAGGGCATGTTTGTGGCTCTTTGTCATTATGCACCCCACCCATCCTCCACATTATAAATGACTGCTCATATGCCACCCTCTCCCACCCCATAATCCATTAACTGATGCCTTCAAACTATGATGCTATGATGCTGCATCTGTAACATTAAACAAACAAAAATAAAACACCTGATTGTGCAACTTTTGCAGTACTGCTCCTGTGCAACTTTTTATACTACCCCTGCATAATTTTTAACACAGCCACTTTGCACCACTTTGCACTAGCTAGGAGGGCAGATAAAATAGATAAACATAGGCAGGATGTGAACACAGTTCATTGGCATCCTCCCCAGTCATCCTGCCCAATCCATGAGGCCATGATGCCTCACAGGGCCTGCTTGAACACTTGACCTCCTCCCATGGCATTGCCACCTGCAAATTCATGTGACCACACTCCACATCACAAGGCATCACTGGCCTAGTGAATTTTGGCCTGTTTCTTGGCAAAATACCCGTTATTACATGGGTTATGTACAGTAGCATCGAAATGAGTCCTGAGGAACAGGCAAGGAGTGTGTGTAGCCCTGACTTGCCTGCTCCCCCATGCATGTGCCCTGCTTAGTCAGTAGTTGTGGGCACAGCCACCTGCAAATTTTCTGTGCATTACTGCAAAAGTTGCACAATCAGCTGTTTTATTTTTGTTTGTTTAATAGGGGAGCTCAGAGTTGTCACTTTTTGTGCCTGCATTCACTTTTGCTTTTGCTGTTTGTCATGTGACCCTACTTAGCACAAGTAAATAATTTTTAATACTGGTTAGGAAATTTGATGGGTTAGGGTAATCACTGCATGCCCTCAGACACTTGCCTGCTCCTCCCTCAATGGCCAAGAAGCCCAAAGTGACCTTGCCACCCATCACATGGGATGCCAATGACCACACACTTGTTTGGTGACTAATATCAGAGATCACAAAGCCTCAAAATATAAAGGTTTTGTGTGGTAAGTCCAAGCATGAGGTAAGTGACCCACTAGCCATAGCCTATTGCATTGCTAACACAGAATTGTATGTAGAACACTTCAGGCGAGATGAAAGCCAGCATTTTTTGGCACTTTGGCTCTGTCCTGCTGCCTGAGCTGTACAGCATGGATGCTGCAGCCACCAGGGATCAGATTAAACACAAATATGAAGGGTATGTCAAGTTTAGGTTACTAGATGAGACTAATCTCTCTTGTAGGCTCGCGAAACCGTACAAGCAGCATGTGAAGAGGCTTGCTATCACTGGGGAGGGCATTGGCACTGATGCTGAGGATGGTATGGATGTAGAGACCTGTACATACTTCATTGAGGCTACTGGGCCAAATGAGGGCACTCCTACAGAAGCAAGAAACATCTGGGGTGAGTACTTTCACATGTGCCCTTGTCAAGCTAAATCATTATCATTCTAGATGATATTATCTCCCAGTTACCTTTCTTCCCTGATCCCCATTGCATCTGGGCTATGAAACCTAACAAAAATCCCATTGCAGTCACTATGGGTGTTGGGCCCTCCAGAAAGAGGGCACTGATCATGCAACCTCTTGCAGCTAATGATGAGACAGCTGAGCATGATGATGATCTTGGGTTGACTGACTCTCAGTGCCAGGAGATCCAGACTTTGCAGGATGCACTGGATGTGGCCCAATGATCTGCTGTCCAGAAGGAGAACCTTGCACCCCCCTCTTCTCAGTCACAGCCTACCCCTGTTACCCCTCTGCATGCCATGCCATGGCCATCATTGATATCACAGGAGAGTGTTCTCAAGGCCAAGGAATGCATTCAGAAGGTGATGAAGAAGTGTACCATTGAGGATACTCTGATGGACATTCACAAGTAAGCTTTACCCTTTGCTTTGGTCATATTTCTCATGTACATTCCAGGTCAAATACTGATGCCATCAATTCTCATATTCAGGAGGAGCTGATCATCAAAAAGTGCCAGCTGCTTTTGGAGGAGTTCAGAGCAGGTATGTGGGATTGGAAGGAGTATTGAGAGGAGTTGAGGAAGTTGGAGGGTGGTGAACATCCTGGAAAGCAAGCTCAACAGTACTCTCCTGACTGGAACTTGGATTTCTGACCTTTGTCACTCTTTATCACTTACAGTAGTCACTCCTGACTGGCACTTGGATTTCTGACCTTTTCCACTCTTTGTCACCCACAGTAGTCATTCCTTTGCTTGCATACTTAATTGATCTCTTTGGGTTAATGTGGTTTACATATTCTGAAAGGCAAATAATTCCTCCACTAGCTTTTTGCATTTGGCCTCACCCTCAGGATTAACCCTCTCTGGAAACTCTTCATGTGGTCCTCTGTCCTCCTCCTCCTCTTCCCTTCCATGTTGTGAGGCAAAATATGCACCATGTCTTCCACCCTCCGCTTCAATCACCAGATTGTGCAAGATAATGCAAACAGAGATCCATTGGCAGGCAGCAATGTGTTGTGAATTAGAGTTGATATTCACCCAAAGACCATGAAGGCATTGAAATCAACCTTTCAATGCACCCATACAATGTTCAGAGTGAACCCAAATATTGGCAACAGCATAGTCAAATGCAGCATTCTCTGGAAGTAATGCTGCTGGCTTTTTGTGGACAGGAATGGTCTGTGGAGAGATACCATAGGCTGAGTCAGCCCATGCAAACTCCTCTCCATGAAAAAACCAATCTGGGTATTTGGCTGCTCCTGTATGCTCAAATGCCCAAGCATCATGAGCTGATCCTGTCATGCCATGTGAATAATCCACAATATGAAGGTTTGAAGGGAGGTTTCCAATCTATGATATGGTTAGGCCTATCTCACATAAGAAAATGTCTCTTACCTGGACATTGAGTCCATAGTTTGACTTATGAGTAAAGTAAGACTCACCATTCAGAGCTGGCTTGGCATACAGAGGGACAATGGTACCATCATACATCACCCATCCTTCATGCCATGTGCCTTTGAACCCAAGATGCTCATCAACCCAACACTTCTCCTGCTCCTTTTCAGCAGCAGTGGGGAGGCATACAAAGGCATCATGGTTGGCATTGATGGCATGAAAGCACCACTGTGTATACAGTTCCACTGCACCTTCAGAGCAACCAGCAAAGCATGCAATGTCCTCTAGCAATGCACCATTGCCATATCAACTCAATCAATATAATGTCACCCCCAACTGGACCTCAACAGTGTCCTGAGCATTACCAGAATTATTGGGGAAGACTGGATGATCCTCAATGAGTGATAAAATGACCTGGAACACTTCAGGAGAGACATGTAGCATGTTGACAAAGCAGTGGTGATCAGATGGGGATTGTTCATACTCCCAGGCAAGATGCACTACCAGACTTGTGCACAGGAGAGCAGCCTTGCAGATATTAAGTCTGTTGAATAGCCAAAATGCAGCTAACATCAAGATTGAGCTCTTGTGCTAGGCCTTCAAGGGTCTCTGGAGGGTGGGATACAGCATGGAGGACCATAAGCAAGATATATGCAGCAAGGTATTGGTCATGAAGTGTTGTGCAAGCCATAGGTTGCAGTATCAGAGTGCAGCAAGATCTCTGATCTACTACGATAAAATGTATTATGTAATAATAGTATTATGTTGTTAACATTTCTGCTAAGTCTTTTCTGTGCTGATCACATGACCAACAGTGAAAGTGAAAGCGAGCACGAGCGCGAATAGCGACAACTCTGAGCTCCCCTAATGTTACAGATGCAGCGTCATATCGAACAGATACGACATCTACCACCCAACATAAAACCTACAGAGACAAGTAGTCATTTGTTGCCTTCGTAAACAGCATCACCTCATAAAACAAACAGTCACATAAACTTCCCTTCCACCCTGCTTAAACATTTCCCTAGTGTAGCATCTGCATTTTAATAATAATGTGAATCACATGCAGAAGTGCCCTGCGTCCAGGAGCGACCGGAGGGCTATTGGCTATTGTATATATACTCAAAAAAAGAATCAGTAAATCCCAGTCTACATCTGAAGATGCTGGTATTCTGTACACGATCAAACGAGATTGATGGAGAGGGACAAAACTGGACTCACTCGAAAGATATGGATGACGGTAATTTCAGAGGAATGCGAAATATCTCCAGGGATTGCAGAAAACCACTGGAATGGACTGAAAACTAGCCCGAGGCTGAACAAGAAAGTGGCAAGAGCCCCAGATGAGCCATGGGCGTGTGGTCCTGTAGGGAATGCTGTGATGGATCATGGTTTGAGTAGGTTGGTCAGAGCGTCGAGCCCATGCATGTCCGGCGAGGGCAGGAGTGGGGCGTGGTGCATGATGCTGTGTACGAAGAAGGGATCATAAGGAACGACGAGGGTAAGCACGAGTCACGACGATGCCGCGAGGGTGTAGCAAGTCACGCTTGAGTTGCATGGTATTTAGCCTATAGCTTGTCAGAGCACTTATACATACCATCAGGGAACAGAGCGTGACATACAACATACCGTAGAAGTCGAACAACTACCTTGATGTCACGGTCGCTCTCCACCTAATCAGACTCCATGTGCAGGCTCGATTCGGATGTTCCCCCTGTCGTGCAGTCAGAATGTCGATTCATGGCGACAGGCTCTGGTTGAGGGAATGCCAACCGTGTAAGAGATCTTTGGAAGCTGGCTATAGACGTGGCTAAATCGTGGAGAATATAGGGTGTGACCAGAAAAGATGCAAGCCGTCCGGTCCCGACGGAAGGTGGATGTAAATCCTTGCAGTAGTTAGTATAAAGATCCACGAGAAGTTGTACCTGTGATAGCTTGTAGCTCCCAAACATTGAAAATTACCTCCTTGAGAATGACGTGGTGCCCTCCCTGGAGCAAGGCGAAAATGCTCTCGCCATTGTAACCCTAGTGATCCCCCGAATACGAGTAACACAGCAGAACGTAAAGATTGTAGTGCTTAAAAGTGGTAGGTGCCGCACTTGCACAAAGAAAAGGTGATATCCAGGAGATGGGGTGAAGGACAGTCCCATCGAAGTGTTCCCCTGCGTCCGGGATCTTGGCTTGGTCCTGTATTCATGGTACTCCCTGCGTAGAGAGATTAGAAGCAACAGGGAAAGCAGGGTGCTAGCGTGGTGGGGACTATGTACCTGGCTTGCACGACCGTGACAGCGTCTCCAGCCACCCCACCATTCGAAGACATTACTCGTACTCCGTCCGAGTCGTTACTATGGAGGTGCTCGATGATGAGCGTGACCTTCTCTCCTGTCAATCAACACCTCGAAAACGTCGTGCATAAATAATCAATGCACTCACGACCTGCATCAATGTGGACACGAAGATATTCATGATAACAGGAATATGATACAGAGCACATGTGGCAATTGGCGCTGCTCGAGTTTTCCTCACGACGCGTAGGTACAACGAGACCCAGCGTACCTCATGTAAGATTGTTGCGAGATATTCTGCCCTAAATGCATTGCAGGAAAACCAGGGCAACTTCGGGATGATACGGATAATTCCTTGGATGCTGGGTGACTTCCTTACACATTGGTGGCTCATGATTCTACCACAAGTTTGGACTGACACCCTGACGCATACTCCACAGCTCTCTTCTGACACCCGCTTTCGCCGATCCATGCGTCACTTCCTCATGTTGGTTTTGCAGCCGTTTCTGTATGGGTCCTAAAGACTGCAACCACTAAGATGGATAATGCGCAAGGAATTCTCTCTGACAGGATCCCATGACAGGTGATGTATGCATATTTATACTTGATGCGAAACTACCTTCTCTGTACTTCTCGAAGATCGCACAGTTGGTGAATCATTCCAGCCGGCTACACACCGTTGGGACGGTGTCGAACACATGAAGCATATAACAGTCCAATGGGCCCGAGCAGGCGCTGGGCACATGGGTCTTAATTTGCAGATGATACACGTTCATCTCGATGGTAATCTAGCCATTGCCAAGGATGGGACCACGGAAAATGTAGCTTGTGCCATGTTCAGATTCAAGAATTCGTGTTGTTTATCGTTTTTCCCCATTACGAGTGGAAAACTCTCTGCCTCATTTTGGCTCTATTACACTTGTCACTGGCTTCCCTCCTCTTACATGTTGTATCCAACTCATCGTCATGTTTTCCAGGGTCACATTCCACATCCACAATCAAGAGAGTACCCGTGACGCAGCCATACACACGACCAACCTCGGTCGACCCTGTCTTTCGCATGGGTCCACATCATTCTACTCATCATGACGAAGGGCAAGTGTGATGCTGTGAAGCTGATACAGGAGGTCCAGAAAACGCTGACGTTCACACAGTGGAATATATGGGGATGACGTTGGCATTGCCGGGGGTGAGGTTGCACGGTGCGTCCCACTCCTCTTCCTGCCTATTCCCTTTTCTTTCTGTTCACTTAGGTCCATGACCTTCCTCATCATTTTCGGCCTACCGTCGTCCGGCGTTTAGGTGGGCGCCAGCAATGATATTGGGCTGAGTATAGTTGTGTTGGCTGTAAAGAGATTTTGCGGATGCTGTAGTCGAAAAAGAGCTATCGTGCTATGTCAATGGGCGTCAAGGCCAGCAACCGATATCTAACCACTACCCCATTTCTCCGCTTTTTGAGGTTTGCGGGGAAGTTTGGCACATCGACAGAATCGATCAGTTCGCCGTTAGCTAGGGCTGTCGAGCTCCGCCTCTCCCTTGGAAAAGTGCGTCTCACCCATCATATCGCATCCATGGGGTTTCAGTAGGGTCTCAGAGATATCGGTGCCAGGAGCCCCAGATCGAATGGGGCTGTACATCTACCGAACATCGTCTGTCCTTATTGGGGATCTTGGTCAAAATCAAGGAGAAGACCGGATTTACATAGATCATGGATCAATGCCGATCAGGAAATCAGCTAGAGGTGAATAATATTGGGTGAAGCGATTTGCTTCGGGACAACGAACATGCCGGTGTGAGGAACGAGGGATCCTGAGAGGTAGGGAAGTACGTAGGACCCAGGAAATATGAGCACACGAAAGATGCTTGGGCAAATGGAGAGAAATGAATTGAAAGCCGCCACGCAAATAGGAAGCTGGACACGACCACGAGGCGGTGCCACAGGGTCCTCCACGTGTCACGGGGCATGAAGACTACGGCTCTGCATTGAATGCCATGATGGGTCTTGGTTCAATGGACTGGACGGCTTGTCCAGCTCACTTGCGCTCGGAGAGCGAGAGTACGAGTACTCGTGCGGTGTGGTGCACGACCTGCAAGGGGCAATAATAGAGAACCGTGAGGGAAGACATGAATCACCAGTTATCTGTGATGATGGCTAGTCGCGTGGTGTACGAGCTGTTTGCAATCTAACTTACATACGGCTTGCTACAGTGCAGAAAACAAAAACAAAAGACCATGTGAAAAAACCGAAAGCTATGATTTTACACCCAGTGCTAACTGAGGAGAATACCGATTCGCTGGAAACAAGACACCAAGGAAGTGGGCGGCCAACCCACTCACCAGTGTCAACTGGTTCCATCTCTTGAAAACACGGTCCAGTAGTCAACCCCTAACGATCCTCTGTATGCTGGCTGGATTCGGGTATTCCTCCCACCGTCCGGTCACCATGTCGATTTGCGATGTCTACTCCAGGTTCATCGAATATCAATTGCGCAAGCGAGTTGACCGTAGACATGGCTAGACTGCGGAGAATGTCGGGAGTTATCAAGCGAGAGGCGTGTCGCTCGAACTCGAGGGAGGGTGAGTGTAAATCTCGGCGGCCAATAGTATGAAGTGCTACGAGGAGTTGCACTTGCGACGGTTTGTAGCTCCCGAACATTGTAAACAACCTCCTGGAGAACGACGTAGCACCCTCCCTGGAGCAAGACGGAAACGCTCTCGCCACGGCAGCTAGGGTGATCCTGGAATACCAGTAACACTGCCGAAAGTAATGATTGTAGTGATTGAAAGTGGTAGATGCGACACCTGCAATAAAAGCAATATCCAAGAGGCGGGGTGAGGAGTGATTCCATCGAAGTATACCCTTGCATGAAGGCTCTTGACCTGCCCTCCGCCAGTACTCGTGATGCTCCCTGTATTAGAAACATCAATTATTGAAGGAGTGCCACACGGCCAGAAGGAAAATGACCCGGCTCGCACGACTGTGATTGTGTCTCTCGCAGCTCCGCCACTCGAGGATATTACTCGTATTCCACCGTTACTGGGGGCACGTTCGATGATCAACATGACGCTTTCTGCTGTTAATGTGATGTCTTTAGACTACCGAAAAAAAGCACAGTCCACGTACCCCCCTCAACGGAACAGGACTCGACGAGGAGAAATTCATGATTGCAGGAAGACTGCGAAGGAATATAATGTAGAGCACATGAGACGACCATTACTGCCGTTCGCATTGTCCTCGTGATAAGATAGGAAATCTCTATCATTGTACTGTCTCCCGTATTTGAGCATGAGGCCCAGGGTGTGGATCATATCCATGGTAGAACAGTGAAGACAGAATGCCAGTAAATAGAATCACAGAGAGTGCGTTTGGGCTGCAGCAGATCAAAGCCAATGCAGGAGGGAGGAAACACTGATATGATGTATGGGGTACCATCGTATTGAGGCGGGTTATTTAAAGTAGACTGGCGCTAGGCTTCATTTGGCAAGGCCACCTTGGTAAAGCAGTGCGTAAATTACTTTGGCGTCGCAAAATCTGAGCTGTCGGAGGAAAGCGGTGAGATGCGTCAGAAGGCCGAACTGAGAGTGTAAAACCCGTTCCGACTCCCGAGGATGGTAGACGCGTGTTGGGCCATTATGTAACAAACGGAGCAGTTGTTCCGAACTGTAAGAGACAATTTGAAATCCAATCATCAGAGGACCAAGACGCACTGTGGTGAGCGTACCAATATCGGGTGTAAAACGGCCTCCTATATATCATCGGTGCTCTCCCCCCAGCGCTAGTCGTCGCAACCCACTCCCCACTGTCCTACTACTATGGATATGGTTCGCGCGTCAAGTATTCTGCACAGTCATGAAAGTTCTCGGCAGTACAGCGCTCGAGATTTTCTACGCATCGCAAGATCTCAAGCCGCAGCAGCAGTCGGTGCATGCGATTTGTATTATATTCCTTGTCGTCTTCCTGCCGCCATGAATTCCTTCTTGTCCATATTGACACTGATCGTAAGTGCGCTGATTGATTGTGCGCTACGGCAGTGTCGAGACGTTATATTGACAGGAGAGAGTCACATGCTCATCGTCGAGCGCATCCCCAGTAACAATGGAGTACAAGTAGTGTCTTCGAGTGGTGGAGTCGCAAGGGACACTGTCACAGTCGTGCGAGCCAGGTACAGCGTCCCTCGACTCTAGTTCGTGCTTCAGCAACCGAAGCGTCCAATCCCTCACACAGAGAGCACTATAAATATCGGCAGAGGGCCAGTCAAAATCCCGTATGCAAGGGAACACTTCGATGGGAGCACCCTTCAGCCCATCTCGTGGATATCGCATTCATTGCAAGAGCCGCATCTGCCACATTCGAATACCAGTGCTACCGGTACGCTAGGATCACCCTAACTGCAACGGCGAAAGCGTTTCCATCTTGCTCCAGGGAGGGCACTACGTCGTTATCAAGGAGGTGGCTTCCACTTTTTGGGACCTACAAGCCGGCACAAGTTCAACTTGTCGTAGATCTTCATACTATCGGCTGCGGAGACTTACACTCACCTTCCAGCTACCCAGCTCCTATAGTCACCACGATTGAGACAGAACAACATCCTCTCGTCTTCTCACATCCGATGTTCTCCACGGTTTAGTCACGTCGATAGCCAGCTCTTGTGCACGGTTAATGTTTCTACCAGAGGCTGATATTGCAAGTCGACATAGCGACCAAATTCCACGAGAAATACCTGAACGCAGTGGGGAAACGGACAGAACTCGTTAAACGGAAGAGGCTATTAGCAATATCAAGGAACATCCGAGAAATAAAGGTGGCCGAGTGAGCAAGTAGGCTCACCTGCTCGCATTTCGATTTTGGCAGATAGTCGACCATTTGGTATACCTATCCAGTGAATGTTTGTCGAGATACCCCTGGTTGTCGCATCGAGGCAAAGTTATGTTCGTAGAGCGCAGGATTTATACGAATGTGTGTTAGAGCTAGTTATGTAAATGGAAGATTAGGGGGCAGTTCGCTAAAATTCAATTGCAATAGGAACTTACACGTACCATAGTAGGTCCAACGTCTCCCCAAAAAAACGATTAGCCTTCGCGAGCGACCGTCAGTATTATGCGCATCTTACCTATGCCATGTCATATCCACCGATAGAATCCCAAGAGGATGACCGATAACGACACGGGAAGACTACATCGGGTTCGAGATTTGGCAGATAAGGCAGAGGCAGGTATATCCGGCTACCTAGCTAAATTCGTTCCATTCATCAACGGGCACGTCGCCAAGGGTTCTGATAAGCCCCCCACGAATGTCTGCCTGTAATACAGGCAAGGCCTCAGTAGATACGTCCCGTAGGCCCAGAAACAGTTCGGAAGAGGGAACAAATTATAGATGCCGCGATTGAAAGAGGCATTGGATAAATATGTGGTCCAGCAGCTTCCCACGTCGAGAGGCTCGATGGCTTCGATGAAATTCCAATCATCGTCCAATTTTGTCTTTTACAATTGCCTTAGAGACTTGGCACGTTGCTCTCTGGGTGTTGATTGGCTTACGGTTAGCCACGATCCCCGCACTTGACCCTAGAAATATACATACGTTATGAGGGCCTTACCTAGGCTATTATTCGTCATGTCGACAGTCGACGTCTCCAAGCGATGCGGGAGCCGAACTCAAATGAGTCCAGTGGGTTACACTTGCTATCGCTCGTCCAGTTTTGGAGCACCCGGCCAGTTTGGGAGGAATTCAGACATTCAGCGGCCGCATCTGCGTCTTCCATGTTGGGCTTGCCACCAAGTTGGCATGCCGGTGATAAAAAGGTGTGCGGGGAGGGAGAAAAGAAGAGGGGTGTTTGACCATATTGAAAGCTGGAAACAGGTTAATTGGACTAAAGCCAAATCATACCGCTGGATAGTCTTCCCACCAATCGCAACGGTCGCTAGTGCCTAGCAACTTTCTCCGAGGGCGATGAAAGAGCAAGTACTGCGTGTTGCGATTAGCTACAGCAGTCTCCTACAGTGGAAGAAGAATAGAGCGAGGGGAGCCGTATCTCCGACTGACTGGAGTCAGCTGTTTCACGGGTTGTTTACTCCTATTTTGACAATTTTCATTTGGATCCGCAGGATTCTAGGCACCTAACACTGGTATGGGTGGGGTAAGCGATACTTGCTGTAAACCGGATCCGGCCTACTTGACTTCGGTTTCAGTGTCATTGAGACATTGAATCCGACAACATAGTAAGGAACGAACATCACTTCCAAGGTAGAAACCAAAACCTCTCCAAGCCATGAACTGCTCAACTTAGAGAATGATTCGTTAAACCTCTCCTGTATCCGGAACTCCCTATCCAAGCTCGCCAGTGCGAGTTGGCATTGAACTGCATATTGGTAATGGTTTCTTTGACTGAGGTCCGCAACTTATTCAATGTACCCATACCATATCACTGTGCAAACCGCACTGGCTGACTGACCCGTGGCCATCATAACAATCTGAACCACATTCTCGAAAGGTATCACCAGCAGGTGGGTTTTTTCAGCAGGGACTGCGCCGCCATGGACATGAATCCGACACCTCGTGAGCACTGGCCACCGTTCTGCAGGTTTTCGGTACATGCCTACCTCGATATAGAACACAGCATCACTCCCCGAAACAACTGGGTGTCAAGAATCCTACTTCCCTTCCGTTTATTGTTGTCCGAGTCATAGAGACCTTAAATGAGGACACTATACAAGATCCCCGCGGGGAAGATCGTTCGTTCATGCTCTCGATGGGAGTCTCGAAGAGAGTACAGAAAGATACCCGAGGTGAGCCGTCCAGCGTTGATACTTGCTGTGTACTAATCGACCTTTGGGTTAGGATATCATTGAACAAAGGGTCACAGAACACTGAGAAGTGCCAGCTATGAATATCATACCTAGACGTGTGATTCAGCATCTCGGACGCCTCAGAGTACACAGTCAAGTTGAGACTAAGGTCCAGGAGCGACTCCGATTTACATCGATCGATTGATCAATACAGATCAGGAGATTGGCCAGAGAGGGACGGTGTCGGGGTGAGATGGACACTGATCAGAGATACTATTATGTGATACTGTGACAGAGGGGGTAATTTCAGCGGAACATGAAAGATTCCCAGGAAAGAGTAGACAACTGCCGGAACAGAGCCAAAACCAGTGCCAACCCACAAAGCCGAACAAGATAAACGAAGCAAAGCCCCACACGAGCCATGGCCATGGCATTCTCTATGGAACGCTATGATTTGTAGTGGTTCTGGTAGATTGATCGGAGCGTCGAGCCGGTATGCATTCAACGGGCAGGAGTGGGGCATCATGCCCAGTGAGAAACCACCATATGCCGGACTAGGTAGTAATCCGTAAATATCGGCAAATAGGAACAAGTAGATTTGCATTGTAAATGTACACTATCATAGTATTATTCACTATTCGTGCATATGCTGATCCATATGTACCTATTAGCATAGTCAACCATATATCTACCTAGCTATCCCTGTGTCCATGACTCCACTATGCATTTATATGCAACAATAGCTCAGGCAATTTGGCTTGAAATCACTATGCCATTATATGCATAGCTAGTGCAAATACAAAACCTGCCCACCTGCTCCCTGGTCACTTGACCAGTATGCAGACATATGAGTACATAGTTGTTGAAACCCACCCACCCCATCCCTGTCCTACCACTTGCCCTACCACTCACCCTACCGCTCGCCCTGCCGCTCGCCCTACCAGTTGCCCTACCGCTTGCCCTACTGCTCACCCTACCACTCCTACCACTCTTGCACGTACTGCTCTCACCCCATCCCAAATCCTGTCTACCACTAGTACATGGTACCACCAGAAAACATCACAATTGTCTCTGCAGTGCTATTTGTCCAAACACTGGTGTCAACCTGAAGTGGTGTGTTGGCAGTGTGCAATTGTGGTATTGGGAGTGAATTTGACATATGAGTTTCCTGTATTCCTCTTTGTATTTCTAGGTTAAGGCATATTAGTATTGACCAAATGATGAGAGTGACTGATTACTTACCTCCTTTGTCTCTGTAGGAAGTTGATTGTAATATGTATTGAACTCCTCCTGTGTGCTGTTCAGAGAAACCGTCTTGAGCCACCGGTGGGCACACAGTGTCCTCATATCAATATTAGTATAACCCATCCCTCTCATGAAATATGACATACCATGTGCTTTTGTTTGACCTGGGGTGCCAAGCCTTCTTCTTGCTTGGTCCGAGTGTCTCGGAAGCTGTTGATGTCAGGTCACCAGTAACTGTGGACGAAGGCTGTGAAGGGGGCAGAACAGTTATGGTGTTAGTGACATCAGCAGTGCCACTGGCCTCTGCAGGGGAAGTCTGTGGAGGGGGGCAAACTGATTCACTCATTGGAGTGACTGTTGGAGCAATAGATATGGACAAGCCAGCACTTGTTGGAGTGACTGCTGGAGTGACCATTTGAGATACAGATGAGCCAACATGCTTGGCTGGGGAAGTCTGCAGGGGAGATTGAACAGGTGCCGTGTTGGGGATGTTGGCAGTAGCTGGTGCTGACAGTGGGAGGCCCAAGTGGTTCAATGGCACAGACAACCTAAGCCAAAGATATCAGTATGTCCAGTATGCAAGTGAAGTCTATATTACAGAATGTTTTTCAGCTTTATCTTAGGCAAAGGGCGAGCTCCTTGGGCTGTCAATGTGAGTTAGAATGGATGCCTGTATCGTCATTACCTTTCAGCTCGAAAAAGGCACTATGGTTTGACTTGGGGTTCAAAGTACTGGTAGATGCCTCCAAAAAATCTGAAGAAACACCAGCCAACAGTGACACAGATAAAGGACTGATTTCCACATCAAAGGAAATGTCTTTGGGTAAACCTGCATTGACTTTGGTATGCTTGTTGTCGACATCAATTGTCTCCAACTTTGCATCTGCTTTGCACTTGCTGGGAATAGACTTCTTGTCCTTATTCGTGAACCAAGTCTGTTTGCATGACACATAGTACTGCTTGGCTAGGTTATCAGCTTTCCATGAGTCTTTGCAAAGGGCAAGCTTGCCATGTGCACCAGCAATTTCAGTACGAAATATTTTCTTGATGGATAATGGCATTGATGTCCATGTCATGTTGGCATCGATCTGGCCTTGGCAGCAGAGGTTGTGCCAGATCTCGCACATTGTCAAGAGAATTTTGCTGACGTGCTTCTTGGGTAGCTGCTTGCCATCCTTGTCTTCTAGGTATGCTGTCTGTGATTTAGACATTACAGCTTGTCCCTCCGCAGTGGCCTTCCAGTCCTTGTACTCCTTTTCTGTCCAAAACTGTACCTTCTTGTATGCCGATCTATCACAATGGGGCAGTGGAGCTGGAGGAAGATGTAGATTTGGCAGAAGCAGAATGCCCTGCATGCTGACATTAAGGAATGTGATGGTTTGATAGGTGGACACATGGGCATATGAAGTGAATCTGATCGATGCAACGTTGGTAGTGTATCTGCTTGAATTCATATTCCCATTTGGCTAGATAGTTCCGAGCAAGTTTGAGTTGTGCTGGAGTGATACTGTATTGACCCATGATGTGGAAGCCTGCAACAAACTTACAGAAGTTGCGCCAGATATTCTGGGGTAAAACCTGAAATAAAAGTGCTGGACAGAGAGAATAAATCCAAGTGATGTACTTAGTGGCTTTGTACCAGGAGTTTGCATGAAGGCTGGGATCACGAGGGGTGACATTGAATGAACCTGGGAGGTAGGGCTTGTAAGCACCAACTGCATGCCCATGTTCTTCCCACCTGCACTGATCCTTTAGAACAGCCCAACACCATGTCATCTTGTTATCAGTTGGCACACATTCAATGGTACCTCTCCACAAGTCAAGCCATAGCACAGCCATGTTTGTGCCACTCAATATTGGCAGAGGAATGAGGACAAAAGGGGAAAGGGTGAGAGCTTAAAGATGAGCACTTGCCTTTATACTTGGATAGAGCATTGAAAGTAAATGATAATTTGAATAGAGCTATTGAGGCTTGTAGACAAGGAAGTAAAGTCGATTGACTGAACTGAGGGGATATGGCAGAAACCCCTTGGTTTATATACATGCAGGTATGCACACAGACCAGGTGACGCATATGGTAAGTAAAGTTACTACCTACTATGTATAGTAAAGAATGTCATGGAACACCATAGAATAAGTGGAGTAAAGTGACATCATAGTGGAGTCACTTAGAAAGCATGACATCATATGAGTAAGACTCAACTAATAAGCAATTCTAGAACCGGTAATGAGAAACACTGTACACCAGTATTTCCAACACTCCCCCTCACTCTAGAATTGTAAGGTAACAAGACCAAGCAATGAGTGATTCATTTTGAATTTCTGCCATGTGAGAGATTTGGTTAATCCATTGGCTTTTTGTTGGTCTGTTTGGATATATTCAATGGCAAAGAGATTATCCTGTACACATTTGCGAACAAAGTGCTGCTGGACATCTATATGCTTTGAACAACCATCTGAGACTGGATTCTCTGCTATAAAGCGAGCACCCATATTGTCACAGTAGAGAATTGTTTTCTCTAATTTTAGGTCAAGTTCATCAAAAAGCATATTAAGCCATTTGATTTGTTGGGCAGAGTCACATAAAGCCATATACTTGGCTTCTGTTGATGAAAGTGCATGAGCGATTCCTCTTGAAGTAAGGAGCGCTTTGAAAGTGTTTCCCATAAATTCTCCCCCTTGATCTGAATGGAGAGTACCCAGTTCAAGATTGAGCTGGCATTGCATAGCGAGGAGCCAGTCGGTAAAGTGTTGATAGGTACCTGATTTATTCCACATATAGATGCAGAAACCAAAGGAAGAATAATCATCAAGCAGTGTTAAAACATACTTGGAACGAAAGTAGGATTTGATGGGAAGTTCCAAAAGGTTGGCATGAACAAGTTCCAATGGGTGAGTAGCATGTTTCCATGATGGTTTAAATGACTTGGAAGTCATTTTGCCTTGTGCACAGCCTTTGCAGGACTGAATCCTGTGTAAGGGAATTTCAGGAAGACCTAATCAGCATAAATGATGCATAATATTGTTGGCAGGATGTGCCAGCTGATTGTGCCAAAGTGATTCAGCATCCATTTTGACCATTGGGCAAAGGACTGAAAAAGCATTGGAGGGTGGAAGTGGAATGCCCAAAAACCAATGTAATGGTGAATTAGGTGAAGCTAATTGTGCTTCAACTAAAATCCAGCCATCAGGTGTTCAGATTACTTCATTGTATGAAGTCGCTTCGCTTCTATATCCCCTGTCTAGAAGCATATTTCGAGAGCAAAGTCTCTTTGAAAATTGAGGGCTGTATACCACATTTTCTAAGGAAAGAGTGGAGCCATTTTCTAGCTGCAACACTACAGTTCCTTCACCAATGATATTGACTTGTTGTTTTCCAGCAGTATTGGCTAACTGTGGAGATTGATATTTCTTGAAAGACAAGAAATCAGAGTAATATGGGGTGACATGATGTGAAGCCCCTGAGTCAAGCATCCAAATGGACTCGCCTTTGGGAAGTATGATGTTAGCTGACATGTCACATGGGTAACAGTCATAAGCATCTGATGCATTGTGGTTGAAATTGCCAGGATTATATCCACTGACAGAATTCTCCAGGTTAAAATCAAAGTCCGGTACATCAAGACAAATAAAAGGATGAGGATGAATATAAGTCCTCAGATTTGGTACACTCGCATGAAATTCTGCTAATGATAGTTTAAGTGGTCTGCTAGATTTTCAGGAAGACTTGGTAGAATGTCTGTTTCCTTGAACAACCTGTGACACATCATCTGCAGAATTCCTCTCTCCTGCCATGTGTATACTAGCCAGGCTGGTAGCTCCCATTCCATTCTCGGATTGGATGGGCAAGCTAAGTACAGCCCTGGTTCTCAACTCAGTAGAGGGAAACAGAATCCTCCTCAATAGAGGATCCGAGTTCTCCCATTGTAGGGATTCCTGAAGGGATAAACCCATTCTGAAACCCATCAAGTCTGAGCAATAGGAATGCATGCAAATAGTGCAAAGGCAAGGAGAATTAGATCTCAGTATGTTGACACAAGGAGTCACTGACTCAACTTCAGTGATGAAGGAGTTCTGTATCTCCTCCTGATACCATTCCGAGAGAGTACCATCTGGTTGGATAGGTAAAGTGGAAACATGGCCAAAATGTTCCATGGCCATTTCAATATCCTCAGCAGTTAACTCGGGTGAGGGAACCTGAGAAGCGAGAATAGTGTGGGAACTGAGAGTGGTTTCTAATTCAGGATGTGACTTGGTATGATCAGGTTGATCCAGAGAATACTCCGGAGAGGTATGGTGGAAATTGATTGCATTAATGTCAAAATCATCAGAGGGATATTCCTCCAGGACTTCTTCAATGGATGCAAGGTTAAACTCCTCAGCACCCTGTCTGGGGATGTCAAGCTTGTTGGTCTGGGCTTTTGCCTTGCCCTTACCATGGTGACAATTTTGGTTTTGTCCACAGTTGGACAAACCTCCCTGCTGATTATTTTGTTGAGGTGGGTAAGGCTGATAAGAGCCTCCCCCTCTTCCACAATTACCCTGAAAACCACCTCATCCTCCTCGGCCACGAGAAGAGCCACTTCCACCACAATGGTCTTGAGTATTATGCGAACCTTTACAAATATTGCAAAGGGGTGGTTTGTTCATGCGAGATAATAAGGAGTTGGACTCCTTTTTGATGGTAGTAGAAGAACTAGAAGATTCTCCTATTTGTCTTGGTAATAACGATTGTCCAGATCGATGAGACCATAATTCCTTCATGCGAGGAATTACTGCATCTGGGCCTAAATGTGCGGGATCGATAGAGGATAGGATATTTGTGGGAGCTTGGTCCCAGGAAGCTGTCATGGAATGTATGAGGAGCAACAACTTCATTTTATCATCCAAGGTAATGCCTTGACCAGAAATGGTCTTAAAGAGCATATTGATCTCGGCAATTTTTGCCATGAGATCGTCCTTGGGTTTGATTTGAATTTTAAGGAGTCTTTGGAACTCCATGAATGTTGTCATGGCAGAAGGTTTGCCATATTTGGTCTCGAGGTCATCCCATTTTAATTTAGATGTAGCATGGGCATCGACAGAGAGTGCGATCATCAGATCACAGTAAAGGGTGATACACCCCTGAGCACATGAATCTGAGATCCACCAAATTCTAGCTTCATCAGCATCCATGGGTAGAGCTTCCATTCCTGATACGATTCCCCACACTCCAAGAGTTTGAAAATAGGCCTTCATCATAACTTGCCAAACAGTGTAGTTCATCCTGTTAAGTTTTGGGATGTTCTTTCCAAGACCTCCTTCAGAAGACATTCTAATAGATGTCAAGGATTAGATGGTCATAAAGGAAAGATTTCCTTGGATCAGTGATAGTGGGATTAAGAGTTCCTTGGAGGAAAGCACGCAGGTGTTTACAATGCTTGCAGGTGCGGGACTTTTGCCTGGGTCAATCCTGAGTCCTCAGTGATCGGTGTTTTATTTTTGGTTCTGGTTCCATGCCTTTCTCAGCATAACGCCAATCAGCGATGTGAGAACTCCACTGTACATTGTACTCAAGAAAATTGAAGCACAAGTCAGGGAAGTAGTGGTAGGAAAGGAACGACCATCCCATTTCATGAAGTCCATGGGGGTTCGAAAATCCTAACCATTCAGAGGCACAAGAGTAAGGAAAGGGAAACCAGCCATAGATCCGATTACCATACTCCCTAGAAGCTAAGACTTCGAAGATATTGTATGAGCTATCTAGGCAGGGTTCTAGAGATCCATCAGGATACTTGAGGAATCAGCTTGTGGATGCGTATGGTACATCCATGGTACCAGGGAGAGGATAGTTTGCGCTTAACTTCGGCAGCCATGCGAGACCAAGCAAGAGCACTGGCAAGTAGTCCACAACATCTGGGTTGGCTGAAAGATGACCCAGTATCACAGGCCATCGCACATTCGAAGTCAGCCAGAACCAAGTTTGTTCTGGGCCAGTAAATGAAGCAGTGGTAACCAGTAGCATCAAGGTACCAAAGAGCACCTCTAGCTTGGTTGTAACTGGTTCAGGTTTCGTCCATATCTCCAATCACCTTAAACCTGTCGATGAACTCCAATAACTGGAGGTCAAAAAGATGTCCCCCAGGTTGTTGCTCTCTGAAGTAGAGGGGGACACAGTCAACGTTGGTAATTCCTTCTCTCCAAAGTCCTCTGTAATGGCCTTCCAGATACTTGTGCCAAACCCTGAGAGGAGGGACAAGCTTGTGGAAAGGGTTTCCTGAGATGTAGAGGGGATGGCAGTTGTAATAGACATAGACGAACATGTCATGAGTAATTGTGGAGGCCAGAATGGTCCAGAGGGCAGGATCTTCATAGGTTAGACTAGGAAGGTCACAACCATTGAAGTAAGTGATAGCATTTGGAGAGGATAAGAAGGAAATTTTAGGGGCGAAGTCAGTAAGATAACCATGGAAAGCAGTATGGATACCTGGGAGTTTGAATGGCATGTCAAGGCCTGGAAAAGTCAGGAAGCCATCCCAAGTCACCTCGATCTGAGAGAGAGGGACATGGGCAAGCAATGGTTGCGGGTGCACAAAGAAAGATCGACTACTAGGGACTGCGTAGCACCAGTGGGAACAATCTCTAACATACAACACCTCCATATATTCAACAACTTTCTTCACATACTCCTCTCTCCACTTATTCCCCATGTACATGCCATCATGAGAGTGGGCAATGGCGATTTCAGTACGCTTTGCAACAACAAGAGACATAGCTAAAGGAAGATGCATAAGATTCCATTCATAAACAAGTTGGGATGCAGCTAAAAAAGCAAATCGAACTCGGCGATGTCATTTTCGACAGCAAGATCGACCTCAGCGATCAGGTGATTAGCCTGAGCAAGCATGTCACCTAACACCACTACAAGCTCTGGGGGTGGAGTTGGTTCACAGTGAGGTGGAAGAGGATCAGCTCCTCCTTCAACTGTGTAGGGTGGAACAGGATCAAGGTTGGCATCATCATCACAATCAGGAATAGTGTGAAGAAGATAATTGGGAGGCAGAGCCTCAACCATAGGAGGATGAAGTCCATCACAAATAAGGCATAGATCAGCTCCCATGGCAGCAGCAATGCAAGTGCATACCCAGTAGAGATAAATGTTGCACCATATAGGACCAGCTAAAGCTGCAGTCCAGAATGCAACCGAGCAGGCAAACATCTCCCTAAAAGGTCCATATCCTCCAAGGGACAAATAGAAAATGGTAGTATAAAAAGCCATTAAAAGCGACACAATGTAAGTAATAATGCTCCATCCTAGCACATCTAGGCCGTCAAAGGGCATGCTGATATGGCCATTGCCAGAGATCAGTAAATGCTCAAATAACAATAGCACACCAACGGTTAGATGTCAGGGCTCATAACCTATTGGCAGAGGAACAAGGACAAAAGGGGAAAGGGCAAGAGCTTAAAGACGAGCACTTGCCTTTATACTTGGATAGATCATTGAAAGTAAATGATAATTTGAATAGAGCTATTGAGGCTCGTAGACAAGGAAGTAAAGTCAATTGACTGAACTGAGGGGATATGGCAGAAACCCCTTGGTTTATATACATGCAGGTATGCGCACAGACCAGGTGACACATATGGTAAGTAAAGTTACTACCTACTATGTATAGTAAAGAATGTCATGGAACACTGTAGAATAAGTGGAGTAAAGTGACATCATAGTGGAGTCACTTAGAAAGCATGACATCATATGAGTAAGACTCAACTAATAAGCAATTCTAGAACCGGTAATGAGAAACACTGTACACTGGTATTTCCAACACTCAAGTGCATCATTTCTGATGAGAAACATTCAGGGATACTGAGGATGAGGTGTGGCTGCAGGCCAAGAAGGATGCTGGGGCCAACAATCCCAGTCTCAAGGTGTCATCCTTTGTATTCTTTCTGATTCCAAGAGCAAAGGATGGTGTGCAGTTGTACAACATAGTGTGCAGAGGTGCTTGGTCCAACATTATAGACATTGACATCACCATGGTTACAACCAGTGATGTCGTAGTTGTTGGGTTCGAGTAGAACAGGGTAGTACTGAGAAGTGCCAGGCTTCTGACAACCTTTGAGAGGACAATGCATGCAACACCCATTTTTACCTGGGTGTCCAACAAAATTGCTCATTGTGAGCAGACCAGGACCATCAGCGCATGCAAGGAATAGGAAGAGACGAGAAGTGAAGTTACGATTGCAAGCAGAATCCCATATCTTGAGACCCTCACATTGCAAGGCAGAGAGGTGATGAAAACCCAGTGACAGGAAGGACTCAATGAACTTCAGTTTTTTGGGGCCAGGGATGATTGTGCCAGGGAGGACATGCTTCTTCTTGTAGTGATGATCAGGTGAGAGGTTGAGAATGATCCAGATATATATCCAACAATCCAATTCCTTGGATTCGAAGAGTTGAGCACCATCAATGGATATCATAAGAAGGGTGTCATCAGGAGTGATGGTACCATCACAGATACCATGGATATATGCACTCCCACAGAAGATGTCATCATATGCATTGACGAAGCCATCATTGGCAAGAAGCTCGTCAAACACTTGTTGAGTTTTTTCCTCGCAGTAATGCATCTTGTTAGCAGTGTCAGGGTGTCACCAGAGGGCTTGGAGTTGGGGACCGATAGGAATGGTGTGGAAGACAGCATGAGGGTGTTTGACCCCTCTGTTCTGTCGAAGCTGGTCATAGTGTGGCTCATCACATTCAGGACAGGTGTCAAGATGGGCATAGGGACCAACAAATGTGGTGCATGAGTTGATACACATGTGGTTGATGATAGACATGACTCCAGTTAGGTCCACAAGGAGGTGTTTGACCTGGTAGAACGAGGGAAGTTCAGAGCCTGGAAAACAGGCATGGATGCCAATGCGTATCTTCTCATATCCAGACTCCAATGAGTGCTCAAGAGTGATGAAGATTTGGATGGCAAGTTTTTGACAAGGATCAACAAGTTTGAGGATGTCCATCAGAGGATTGCAGAGCCGGTTAACAGACTCTCCTCCAAGCCCCATCCCATCACCAAGTGAAGCATTCCAAATCCACCAGATGAAATCCATGCTTCACACATGCTTGGGATTTGTAGAGGCAAAATCTGCAAGTTCATTCAAGTCAAGATTGACAAGAGGATTTCTCTGTGGGTTGGGAGGGGGAAAGTCTTCATGCATCTGCCCAGGTGAATTACAGGGAGAGCCAGGAGGGGGAAAGTCTTTGTGCATCTGCCTAGGTGAATTACAGGGAGAGCCAGAAGGGGGAAAGTCTTCACGTGTCTGCCCAGGTGAATTACAGGGAGAGCCAGGAGGGGGAAAGTCTTTGTGCATCTCTTCAGGCATGCTATTGGGAGACACAGGTGAAGGTGAATGCTTGTGCACCTGGAGAACCTGGTAGTCTTGATTTATAGGAATATAACAAATACATAAAATAAACTCACCTCAAAGTCATTCTCATCGGAGAGATGGAGACACTTGGAGGAGTTGCAGTCACCATCAGGACCATTCTCAGAAAGACACTTGGAACCAGAAAGTCTATTACTTGCAACAAAGGCATGGAAGGTGTCAGAGCATCTTGCTAAACGAACGTCTTGTTTTTCATCTTTGCCTGCATCACGAAAGTGACACTGCCAAGTAGCAAGGGTATTCAGAGGCTTCCGGGTGCCCTTACAGTACTTTCTGCATGTACACCAATATACTTCACCTTCGAGATCTGGCATATCTGTGGTATGATGTAAGTCAATCTGTATCAACAGGTCTGATAGCATACCTAGGTTGTAACATTGTAGAGCCAGTGGAATGGAATGAATTCAATGGAAAATCTTCATTGAAATCTTATAATCACGACGACTTGAGGAATCCAAACAAGAAAGTTTCAGTAGCGATTTCTATGGGGAAATATGCTCTAACTTGGTTTCAGTCACCACGCGCCATAAGCATAGTTACACATACGTATAAACTATGGTACATACAGATATGTATCTACACCTACGTATGGATATGACGGGTTCTCACTGGGCATCATGCATCACCAGGCGGATTAGTAGGGAAAGCAGGACCACCATGTTTGTCAAGGAGTAAAAATGGAAGGATTACAAATGATTGAGCCATTTTCATGCCGCCATCGTGTCCATGACTGCAAGTTTTCTGTCGGAGACAGGGTTTTGTTATCTATTAAACATCATCGTCGTGAACACATTACTAACAGCTCGAACCGTGTAGCAAAGTTCATGCCGCACTATGATGGTTCGTACGCCATTCTGTTGGCCTTGCGCGGGCCGTTCACACACGACTTGGATATGCCTCGCGCGACGAATGCTTGCAACACTTTCCATGCCAGCCAACTTCGTGCGTTTGTGCCAAATGACATGACTCTGTTCCCATCGTGCGAGTTTCTCTCATCAAGAGACCCCCAATCAACGCTCTATTAATCACGTGCTAACCCTAAATGTACTGCATGTTTTTCCGGCGCTCCGCGTCAAGCACACGAGGATAAAGACCACACCCCAGGCTGTGTTTAATCCTCGGAGGCTTACAAACAGGAGTCTAGGCCAAATTAGGACCATGTAGAAAGCTCACGACCGCCAGCGTCACCGTTCACACTCTCACAATCGATGACTGAGTAATTGGAGTGTTCACTCTACTCAGGAAGTCTCATTTGGAATCAGCTCAAACTGGTAGGGCCCAGAGGAACTGCTTATCAAGTTCAGGCTTGGCCGATTTGTTTAAGTCAGTTTATCTCGGAAAATTGGCAGGTGGCGGTGCGTGGGACCTGCAAATTTTGGATCGGCCTCCCAGCCACAGCGGCTCGCCCTCGGCGGCGGGGACGGCCGTTCGGAGTGTCTGACGCCTCGTGACGGCACCGGCATCGTCGATCGTGGCGTGGGAGGTGCGCTAGGGTGCGCTAGGGAGCGCTCGGGACACGGAAGCAACACGTGGTGGGGGACTTACGTGTCAGGCACGTTATCATCAGGGTCCGCGCACGGAGAGTGGGACGTCCCCGCGCGACGCTGATCGCTTAAGAGACTGGACAGCTGGACCTCCCGTCCATCGTGTATGATAACTGTGTGATTCGGATTCGGAGGGGGTGCAGATGCGGGACCTCCATCGTTAAATTTATATCAATAATCGATCACTTCTGCGATCAGCAGCTAGTATTTGGCCTTCGGGCATTCTCATGAGTTCGGTGCGGGGGAAGTTTTGTGTGCTACTGTGCCGTGCTGACAGCTGTCATTACTCATTGATGGACTTGGCGACGTGTCTTGATAGTTTTCGGCTAAACTTGTTCTTGGCTAGTATACTGAGCTCAGAGCTGTCTAATACATTGTATAGTACAGTGTATTCGTGTTCGTCAAGTTGGTTCAAATCGGACTGCTGGCTCCACCGTGTTTGTCGTACAATACATATGTCACCTTCGGGTGCTGAAGCTGAAGAGACTTGAAGCGCTGAGTGCTGCATACTGAGTGTCCGTGTATTAGTCGTGTGTGCAACACCCCTTGCCCTGCTACCATAATACCGTAATGGCTACGTGTCGCAGCGCCTGGCACACAGGACCTCGACGGCGACCTCAAGGGTCTTTCCCAATCGGTGCGTTTGCATTTTCTACCGGCTCATCTGCCAATCTGGCCAGCCCAGTTGCGAATGTGCGTGCCAATTTCCCCTTGTAAAGTGACTTTACACCACTTTATAATTACTTCCAGTACTTTACTGCTCAAACCGGCTTGTCGCCTCGAGGCATCAACACCACACTGACATAAGCAGTAAGGGCAGGTTTGGGTTACCGCATCTCCCCGCTCTGTGTAGGCTGGCAGGAGCCTTCCCTTCCCTCCAAAGCCCGTTCGAGTCATCCCCCGACATCTCCCACTCTTTGTTGCCGCATCAGTGGCCATTTGTGGTGAGTACCTGCCAGCAAGCGTTTCAGCGTTTTACATCCAACAGTTCACAGCGCTATCAAGCTCGATTCCCTGGCCAAGCACGCTCACTCGCTGGAGCGCACCCCCAAGATCTGACTTGATCCATCCCTTGGTGAGCTCTTTCATCAGCCACCAGCGCCTCCACTGATGGTTTCAAAACATAGATTGCCCGTATCGAGTACATCCATTCTCGCACCATGGTCCTGGCACTCTGGCCGGTGGCCAATCTCGTATTTGTCAGCTGGGCGTCGGCCTACGCCTGCATCAACTGGCTTTGTCTCGTTCTCCCCCTGTCGACAATCCTCCTAACTAGTCCTCGGAGTCCGCCACACATGAGGGTCTCTGAATTATGGCCTGTGAGTATTTCCTCTCTTCTGCCGTTTTGTTAGCGTGTTATACTGACCATACATAGCTCCTTGCACCTGCAGCACGGCCTTACACGCTCGGCCAGCTGGCTGCTGAAACATTTGACCCATCCGGCGATGACGGAGGTGTTCGATTGCTTACTGTGGGATTCAATGCTAGGTCAGCACTATCGTCCATGGTCTATTTCGTCTGTCGCAGATGACACATCACCCAGTGCATGGATGCATTCACTAATCAACGTGTTTTCATGGCGTCAAGCTGGTACAGGACAATCGCACGAAATGGATATTATCTTTTGTCGTCTTTCCGCTATCTCTCGCATGTTGCTTCACCCTTACTTCGTCTTTGATGGGCCAGACTGTCCCCAACTCAAGAGGGGAAAAGACGTCGTAGGTTCGACCTTCCCGCGCCTCCTTGTGCAGCGCTTTCAAGAATTACTGACAGCATTCGGCTTCAACTGGCACATGGTAAGTTGCTTGCTATGTATGCTATGTCATATCTCAACAGGTGCTAACACAACTCATCAGGCCCCAGGAGAGGCAGACGTGGAGCTCGCAAATCTTCAATCCTACGGACTAATCGAGGCTGTGGTGACACCGTACAACGATGCGCTACTATTTGGCGCGACCTGCATTATACGCAGGTGAGTTGTTCATTCAAATATTGGTGCAACCAACCAACTCTAGAGACAGCGGCACCCCTTACTCTACCAGGTATGAAGACGTTCTAGTTTACTCCTCCAAAGACATAGAAAACGTCGTCAGTCTCGAATTGGGGGACCTCTATCTGATTTTGTTGATGAGCAGTGTGGACGCTGAGGTACGTGCCATCCCTAGCACCAAGGTGCCATCCAGTCTCATTTGATTCGTAGACAGGTAATCGGTGGTGCAGCGTGGACGTTGCCCGTCGGCTGGCAAAAATACGGCTTTGGAAGGAGTCTCTTGCGAGCCGCCGCCGCACTCCAGTTTGCCGAGTTCATGAGCTTCGTTTCCAAGTGGCGTGACAGCGTCTGTGAGGTGCTAAGAACGGATCCTCGACAGTTCCTTGGATGTAGACACTACGAACTTGCCCGCATCATCGTGGAGGAGCGCATTGAGTTCCCTGACCCCGCTGTCCTGGCAATGTATCTTTTACCTCTTACCTCGTGGTCGGACAACGGCCGCCCTCCTATTACCGTTGTGACGTCTCGCCAGCCTGATCTCATGTCCCTGGTGGAATTTTGTTCGCAGTACCTTGACTGGCCACCGGACGTCATTCAGTCCAGATTGGTGGACGCTCGTGCTGGTGCCGCTGTACGTGCACTTCTACAGGTAAGTTCTGCGATTATAAACACGTCCACCCCGCATCATCATCCACCATACCCAGCTGCCAGGCAATGTCAACGGCGAGAGACTGCGACGTGATCTTCGAGTCACAGGCTACTTCGACGAGTCGCTGTCCTCACCCACATACAAGCTCTCTGTTCCAATCCAACCCCTTGCAACATCGGGCGAGAAGAGCGATGGTGATCCTTTCTATGACATGGAGATTGCGGCGGTCGTGTTGGAATACTTGAGGCCTGACTTAGCGCTGGGCTCTGTCTGTCCATCTTCCCCATCGCCTTGTGTGGAGTTTGCAGATGAGAATGCAGACGTTAAGGATACATCGTGTCTCGAAGCTGGAATTGATGATCCCATGAACGAGGGCTAGTCAGGCTTACTACACACTTTTTGTAGCATCGTATCAGCTCGTGAGTGGCATGCTACGTGCACTTTTCAATCCATCCCTTACAACGCACGGGTAGAGATGGCTTCAACTTTGCTCGTGACTATAGTCTGGTTGTTATGGTTAACATGTGATATACACAAGAGAGCTCGGAGGAAGACAACATCCTATGGATAGCTGTTCAATTTTTCAGGCAGCAGAGTGTAAAAGGCAAGCGTACACTGTGAGACCATTCGGCTTCCTCCATCGATATTAAGCCTCATGATATCTGTCCCGACTTAGCCAGTATCCTGTATTGTCGAAGACGAAGATGTTCGCGTTCGCGCCACCTGCCATTTGATTAACAGCTTTCGGCTCTCCGCGTTGGCCAAAACCGTGTCCGCATCGTCTTAGCTCCCAATGGAGCATGTATGCACCCTATCATCGAAGATGTCTGCGTTCACATTTGCTTCGCATTCACGTTTGCAACACAGTAAACAACTTTCGACTTTCTGCATCAGCCAAAACTATATCCACGTCATCTTAGCTGGGGTACTCCCCGATGGAACACGGTCCACCCTATCATCGAAGACGACGTCACCCGTGTTTAGTAAGTAAATTCCAGCTCTCCTTGCTAGCCCAAAACCGTGTCCGCATCGTCTTAGCCAGGGTACTCCTTGATGGAGCACCTACATACCTTATCGTCAATGACGAAGTTTCGTTCGCGTTTGCATCACCCGCCATTTGATCAGCAATTTTCAGCTCTCTATGCCAACCAAAAATCGTGTTCACATCATCTTAGCCAGGGTATCCCTTGATGGAGCACGTACATACCCTATCGTCAAAGACGATGATGTTTGCGTTTGCGTCACCCGCCATTTGGTGAATAATTTTCAGCTTTCCACATCAGCCAAAACCATGTTTACATCGTCTTAGCTGGGGCACCTCTTAATGGAGCACGTACATTTTGCCAATATTAGAATTGTTTCCGTCCGCCCCAATGACACCCACGGTATTCACCTATGTCACTTTCCCTCTCACCGATGTCACTATGGTACAGTCCACAGTCGCCCTCCTTCGGTCCCACATCTCTGCGGTATTTACCAACTAGTCCACCCTTTTAGCCCCTTGTCTGCTAACTACGACGCAGCAAAGCGGCCGCATCACCGACAAATGTCACCCGCCCTCGATCGAATTCACCAACCAGCCTGTGGTATTTATTCATCCATGTCGCCGCCTTCCTTCTCATTGACATCTCGAACGGTACGTCTGCAATCGCCTTCCTCCGTCCCACACCTCCGCGGTATTCACCAACTAGTCTATCCATTGAGCCCCACGTCCCCTAACTACAACAGCAGCAGAGCGACTACATCACTGACATACTCCCCAATGTCACCCACAACCAGTCCGCGGTATTCACCTATGTCACCTTCCCTCTCACCGATGTCACTGCAGTACAGTCCGCAACCGCTTTCCTTCAGTCTGATATCTACGTGATACTCACTAACTAGTCCGTCCTTTAGTCCTGCCTCTCCTAGATGTAAGTCACGTTTGTCCGTCAGCGAACCAGTCACTAACTTCGCAAGATCCACCCAGCACAACTTTTCATTCGCTTTGCCAACCATCCCTTTCTCGTGCTATCCTCACTGCAGCTTGTAAGTAATTTATCTCGCTTGCATAGTTACATTACTCACGGCTCTGCAACCCCTGCACAAATGTCACTCCTGTCTTCAAAATACTCGCCCACGTCACCAGTGTCACCCCCTCCGCTCAACCAAATATTCTCCACAGCTCCTGCCTATTGCAAGTGTAGCCTCTGTCCCCCCCGCGTACAACTCAACATCTCCACGATGGCCACCTTCTAGCCCTACCCATGTGATACAATGTATCATCGAAAACGAAGATATTCGCGGTTTGCGTCACCCGCCGTTTGGTAAACAAATGTTGGCTCTGGAATGGGTCGTCAACACTGTCGACGGATGAGGTGCCATGGTTGACTTTAAGGGCGAAACCTAATTAAACTTGCATGTATTTTCACTAGTATCACAAATCCTCGTTCATTACACTCGGCGGTATGCATGTACCTCGATCAGATTTATTTATTGTACCCTTCTAGCGAGATTTGTGGCGAGTGGGTCATGGGGTGGCAAAACTGATTTCATGGACGACTACACCAATACTCAAGATAAGTCTGATAAAAAAAGGGCGTTGATGTGCTACATTTTCTATCAGCAATCTAGCTAGCCATGACCTCCCTAGATCGCTTTGCTTTTCACGAGTTCTGTTATTGTCCATCGTCAGAGGTAATCTGTGAGGAACTCGCAATGCGATCGACTTACACTCAAGCTCCGCCACGGCGTTGGCCAATATCTCCTCCTGCATCTTCTCGTCCCTGAGATCGGATGTAATCCTTGCAATGATAGTTTTTGCAAGCTCAACCTGCTCGCTCTCCTTCAGCCATTGCTCATAGCGCACCCAGCTGTCTGGGACGGTCTTGAGCTCGGATGCCAGTGCAACCTTTTGATGCTGGATAAACGCTTCTGCCTCCAACCAGGCAGTTTCCTATATACATCATATCATGTTAGATCTAAAATACTAAAAGACCACGCCCCGACCTTCGAAACGGGAAAGAGCCCCTGCGTCAGCGACATGACATCCTTTATCTGTTTGACAGAGCAGATGCAGTCTTTTACAGCCTTGAGTATGCTCGGCACGCGAGTTTTCCAAAGCGGTCTTGACACGTTCGATAGCGACACAACGTCCCTCATCTGTTTAACAGAGTTGATGTGGTCTTTTACAGCCCGAGTATGTTTGGCACGCGAGTTTTCCAAGGCAGTCTTGACACGCTCGATAGCGACACGACGTCCCCTGTTTAACAGAGTTGATGCGGTCTTTTACAGCCTGAGTATGTTCGGCATGCGAGTTTTCCAAGGCGGTCTTGACACGTTCGATGTGGCCATTGACCTAGTCACAGTCGGGCCCACTGATAAGCTAGGCACATGATTATGAGTGTATGTAACAGCATATTAACAGAACCACATACCTTAGCAATGTAAGCAGGGAGGACAAATGTCCCTGCTGCGACCACAGTTTCCTCATTCACAACATAGACTTCTTGAGAGATGGCCATAGCAGGAACACCAGTACCGAGGATTGCAGTGCCAGCCTCGATGATGAGGTTTGGCGAGGATGGGAGGGGATTTACGATTTATGAAGCACGCTCAGAAGGAGGGATATGATGGGTGGACGAACGATGCTTGCGATTAATGATGTTTGTGTTGTGCGTTGCGTACGTATGACAAGTCGTAGGCTACATATGTACGCAACGCACAACACAAACATCGTTAATCGCAAGCATCGTTTGTCCACCCATCATATCCTACAAGTCGTATGTACGCAATGCACAACACAAACATCGTTAATCGCAAGCATCGTTCGTCCACCCATCATATCCTGAGCGTGCGCGTGCGCATGCAATGGTTACCATTATGTGTTTGTTCTACCTAACTCACACATCCGTTCGAGAGTGGTCCTATCCTACACCGCCGTACATAACTGCTTTCGACCCCGCGGAAGCTTCGGGAGTCCTCGATCGCGAGATGTGATCACTGTGACACTGACATAAGCTGAACCTAAACGAGGGGAACGAGGGGCAGGGCGCCCAAACAACGGCACACGACGGCATGCCGAGCCTACTGGCAGTGGCGCCGAGGTGGCTGAGGCCCGTGACGTCACGGATTCCCGGCCTCTGCGGTCACGTGCGTGCGCCCGCCGCAGTTTGGCAGGTGCCCTTCACCGCCACTGCCAATTTCTCGAACTAAGTAGAAGCTCAGACTGCGGCTCAGGAGCAGCCTAAAGCCTAACTATGCGTGAGAAAATTACTTCACAAGACGCGGATCAATATAGCCTTCAAAGCTTCAGCTGTGGGGCCGTGGCTATGTCTATACGGAGAATGCGCTTTCAATACGGTGCGTATCCTATAAATCGCTGGTGCTCTTCCCCTGAACCAGCGCTGGTCGTCGCAACTCCACTCCTCACTGTTCCTGCCACCATGGATATGGTTCACGTGTCAAGCATTCTGCACAGTTATGAAAGTTCTCGGCAGTACAGCGCTCGAGATTTTCTTCGCATTGCAAGATCTCAAGCGACGGCAGGCGTCGGTGCATGCGATTTGTATTATATTCCTTCTCGGTCTTCCTGCCGCCATGAATTCCTTCTTGTCCATGTTAGTACTGGTCGTAAGTGCGCTGATTGATTGTGCATGGCGGTGTCGAGACTTTGTATGGAAAGGAGAGAGTCTCGTGCTCATTGTCGAGCGCATCCCCAGTAACAATGGAGTACAAGTAGTGTCTTCGAGTGGTGGAGTCGCAAGAGACACTGTCACAGTCGTGCGAGCCAGGTACAATGTCCCTCAACTCTAGTTCGGTGCTTCGGCAACTGAAGCGTCCAATCCCTCACACAGAGAACACCACGAATATTGGCAGAGGGCCAGTCAAAATCCAGTGTGCAGGGGAACACTTCGATGGGACCACCCTTCAGCCCATCTCGTGGATATCGCATTCATTGCAAGCGCCGCATCTGCCACATTCAAATACTACAACCTTTACACTCACCAGTGCTACTGGTATGCTAGGATCAACCTAGCTGCGATGGCGAGAGCGTTTCCGTCTTGCTCCAGGGAGGGCACTACGTCGTTCTCAAGGAGGTGGCTTCCACTTTTGGGGACCTACAAGCCATCACAAGTCCAGCTCCTTGTAGATCTTCATACCATCGGCTGCAGAGATTTACACTCACCTTCCGACTACCTAGCTCCTGTGGTCCCCGCGATTGAGACCGAACGACATACTTCTGGTCTGGTCACACCCGATATTCTCCACACTTTAGCCACATCGATAGCCAGCTCTTTTGCGCGGTTAATATTTCTTGAACCAGAGGCTGACATTGCAAATCGACATCATGGCCAAATTCCAGGAGAAATACCCGAACCAGGCAGGCAAATGAATGGAACGCCTTAAGCAGAAGGAGCTATTGGTGATATTGAGGGCTTTCGGAGAGACGAGTCGGCGAGTAAGCTTGACTTTCCACATTTCGTTTTTGGTAGATGGACGACTACTTGGTGTACGTACCGTAGTATATCCAGTGGATCTTTGTTGAGATACCCTTTGTTGTCATATCGATGCAGAGTTGTATGTGCAGAACGCAGGTTCTTATCCGAATGTACGTTGAAGCCAGCATCACACTAGTGCTAGTCATGTGAATGGGAGACAAGGGGGCGATACGCCGAGATCTAACTGCGACAGGAATTGTACACATACCATGGTAGGTGCGGTGTTACTCCAGAATCAAATAATTAGCCAAATTTGTGAGCAACAAGTCAGTACTACGCGCAGCTCACCTATGCCACGTCCTATCTATCGACAGAACCTCAGCAAGATAACCGACACAGACTCAGGGAGACCATGTTCTACAGTTAGCAGATAAAGCAGAGGCAGGCATATCCGACCGCCTAGTTACATTTGCTCCATTCATCAAGCATGGGTTGCGGTGCGCCCCTCGCGAATGTCTACCTGCAATAAGCCCAGGGCCTTAGTGGATACAGCCCGTAAGTCCAGAAACGTTTTGAAGGGAACAAGTGAAAGATATCGTGATTGAAAGAGATATTGGATAAATGTGGAGTCCAGCAGATTCCCGCAACAAGAAGCTAGATGATTTCGATGAAATTCCAATCATCTCCCGATTTCTACTTTTGCATTTGCCTTGGAGAGACTTGGCGCATCATTCTCCTGGAGTTGATTGCTGTCAGTTACGATCTTCGCGCTTGACCTCAAAAGTGTGTGTACGCAATGAAGGTCTTACCTAGGCTACTGTTCATCACGGCAACAGAACCTACGTTTCTAAACAGCGTGGGTGTTGAACTCAAGCGGGTCCAGTTGGGTTTCACCCCTACTATCGCTTGTCCGGTTTTGGATCTTGATGATAGGCGCCTACTGAGGGAGACTCAAGGCTCACAGAGCTTCCCCATAGCGCCAGGGCGATCTCTGGGAGATATCAGCTGTTCTGCAGCAAGTCTTCGCTTTTCGTGTTGGGTTCATCATCGAGCTGGCATGCCAGTGAGAGAAGGGTGTGCGGAGGGAGAGATAAGAGTGAGTTTTTCGTTATCCCGCTGGGTAGCCTCCCCACCGATTGCAATGGTGGAATAACTTTCCCCTACGGCGGTGAAAAACAAGTGCTACGTGTTGCGATTGGGTTGCAGTCACAGTCGTGTTTTAGTCTATTTACCACTATGTTTTCAGTTGTTTGGCGCCGCACCTGCCGTCGTCGTGCTGAGCGCTGAACCTTCACCTGCTAATTCACACTTTGGTTCTGTCCCAGTGTCTGTGGGACGCAAAATGTATAGACCATTTGAGACGCGAACACAATTTCTGATTTCCAACGCAGAGATCGGGACCCTGTTTACCCACGAGCTGCTCGACTCAGAGAATGATTCGTTAAATTTCTCCGATATCCGGACCTCTCTACCCAAGCTCTTTAGCGCTAGTGGGAAACGAACCGCAGAGGTGAAGATTATGGAGTTCGTATTGGATACGACTGGGACTATGGAAGTTAGGAGGGAAGGGATACCGCCATCAACTACGATGTGGATTATACATGCCGGACTTTGGCAGAACGAGTACCCGTTGTCCATGCTGCGACTCGTAGGACATTATACAATATTCTCCCGTGCAAGTGGTCGGTTAATCATTAAAACACTCACAATAGTAGTCCCGAAGAGAGACTACGACTTGGTGGAGAAGCGCCGATGAGAGGCCGGATGCCAAAAGAACAGAAGTTTGCACACCACTGAAAGGCGGCAACTATGGATATCACATTAAAAACGACCCCATTTGGACGTATGATTTGTGGGAAAAAGCTAGGAAACGGGGCCGTACCATTTCCCGCGTCCTAGGATTGTTTAGGAGAGTCGATATATCAGTCTCCGGGTTGGTTGGCTTGCCCTGCCTACTAGTTGTGTGGGCAGAGGAAACATACTAGTGCTGGATTCACGTGAAAGTTTAGACTTGGGCACTGCCCACCGTTTCCGGATTGTGAGATAGACGCTCCATCCTAACTTAGCACTTGTTTGCTCTTCGCGCGAACGTCCCGGGCCCGAGCCATGATATCGGTTCAAGGGCGGCATCAGGGTCCCTTGTGTTAGGTGCACGGTGGCTTGTACAAGCCATGGGGCTAGTGAAGAGAGCCATTAACGAACGCTGTGACACGTGTTGTCATTTGAGCGCGTCAGACGGAACGTCGAGTCCGCGTGCGCCCGATACGGCGGGATCCCGGATAGGGATTACTGCAATGTCATGTAAAATGATGTATAGCAGAGGTAGAGAAAAACGAGAGACAAGGCATCGTGATGGCGCTGCGAGCTGGAATACCGACATTATCCTAGCTGCCGCAATGAGAGCGTTCCGTCTTGCTCCAGAGAGGAGTCTACGCCATACGCAAGGTAGTTTACAGTATTCATTCTCGTCGACCCTCACGCATACCATCAACTGCCGAGATTTCCATCCACCTGCCAACTATCTCGCTCTTGCGGTCCTCACAATGGAGACTGGAAAATAGCCCTCTGGCCCAGATGTTCACCATCGCTTGCAATCAGCGTTCAGAGATCTCTTTCATAGTTGACGTTGCCGAACCGAAGGCTATCATTGCAAATCGACATGGTAACCACACTTCGGGACGAGCGCTTGAATAATACGAGCAGTATAATATATCTGGTCCATGTTTGTCAAGATACCCTTCGTCGTCGTATTCAGGAATTGTGTGTGTAGATATCACACCAATGGACGCTCGAGTTGGCTAGGAGTTAAATACGTTAGCGACCAGATCTTTAAATGGGGGGAGTGCCTATGTACGTACCAGTACACCGAAGTTCAACCACGAACAAACGATAGTCGTTGTGAACGTCTCACCTGCGCCGTATCCTATTTGTCAGCGGGATCTCAAGGAGATTAGTGAGAGATAGCCAAAGTCCCTGGTATTCTCGTGATACTTGCCTCTCAGGACCGAAAAACATAGGCAGGCACATCTGGCTGATTAGCTGCATTCGTTCTACTGAGATCAACAAGGATATAGCGACCAAACGGGATCCGCGCCCCACGGGTAAGGGAGGAATTCTCAAACATTGCGGTTGAAGAGGACGTCGTACATCCAACTGCCGCCGGATTCAAAGACAAAATTTTCCTGTTTCAACTCTTGAGAATGAGTAGATAAGGGACTTCATATACCATTCTCTCGGGGTCGATCGGCTCGTGGTCATAGGTAACCTTCGAATCCTATTTCGGGAATGCAGGCACGACGCGGGTGCCTTACCTAGACTATTGCCGATCTCAATAGAGTCGATATATCAAGGAACATAGATGCAGTGGACCAATTGGGTTTTACACTCACCATTGTCTAGACGTATCGGATTTCGGATTTCGGATCTCGAGACTACTTACCTCGGGGAGACTCCGTCCCCGACGCATTCTATTCAGGAAGCTGGTTGATGGTGACATGTTCCTCGTTATGGGAGCAGCGCACAAGAGAACGGGGTTCAACAAGCATGAGAGTGAGGGGAATAAAAGATGCTGTGAGGGAGGGGGTATGGGGTGAAGTGAAAAGCATCGAGGAAGAGAAAACAAAGAAGACTAACACGACTAAAATGCAAACGCTAGCACTGATCACACCTGTGCGGCGGAACGCTCGGGTCCTGGGGAAAGTCACATGTCGAATGAACCGGAGGTGAGACCATGACTCGTACTACAAACAAACCTAAATACATCATGTCACGAATGCCATCGTGCGCCACAACCGTGCGAACCCGTGTTCTTCCAGTGGGAACTTCCTGCCCCGCAACCCCACCCCAAGCAACCCACACGAACCAAGACCCCATCGCGACGCCCAACGGAAAATCATGTCCTTCACGATTGTCGTGACTCGCACGAAGAACTACCATTAGTTCTTTTTATCTTGGGGTGGGTCCATCCACCACATTGCTGTTTTCGAGTGTGTTTCCAATCCCATCTAACATCCTTTGCTTCATGGCCCCTCTATTTGCTACACCTTCGCTCTTTTCACCTCACGTAGCTGTCTGACCTCCTCTCTGCCACTTTTTGCATATAATTTGATCGCCAGGTATGTTTTTCGGTGTTGCGGTTGTGATGTAGGGAAAAAAGATCCGGGTGACCAATCCACGCACCGGGTAGTCAACCATCCTCGGCGATGTATGCATGTATAGTGCGTACCTGTGTTGCATGTGACCCATATTTGCTATGCATACATTGCCGAGGACAGGGATGACTCGTGAAGGAGAGCAAAGGCCCGATGCAAGGTTCTGGTCAATTGATTTCCTGCACTAAGCAGCCCGACACGAGCCACGACCATCATTTGCTGATTATGAGCCAGTGAGAAGTAAGAAAGCCGCTGTGCCATCCGAGGTTGTTTCGCGGAGTCGTAACACCTGGAATGGGATAGGAAACAATAGGTATACACCAGACTTCGCGTTCGGTTCCAACGTCCCCGAGGCGTCGAATCCATTGACGTGATGTTGTAAGTGAGATGCACATCCCGAAGGAAGTGCTCGAAAACCACGAGCTGACTGATCCGGTGAGTGATTTGCGAAATCTTTTCCAGGTAATCACGGCAGAGGGAAAATGGGATAATATTCGGAACTTCGTGTCAGCACAAACTGACATCGAATTGCAGGTTGACAATGGTCCCTTTCACTGACCTCTGCAACTTGTTCAATGTACCCAACACCACGCTGCTGCGCGAACCATACAGGATGATCGGCCTGTCAATATCGCAAGAATCTGAACCGCCTTCTACACCAGTATTACCAACAGCGGGTGGTTCCTGTGGGGACGGCACGGCCGTAAACGTGAAAGGGAACTCTCGCGTCCGTTACAATTGACCCCTGCAGATTACTCCGCAGGCTCTTGGTATGTGTCTGTCCAGATACAGAATACGGTTCTATACTCTTCAGTCCAACCGTTTGCAAAGGGTGAGTCTTCTACTCCTTCATTTTGTCACTGTATAGTTTCTCGAAAGGAAAGATGCCGGACTCGAGTGGGTAACGTATTGCACCTTCAGAAGGTCTTAGTATGCCGGAATTCGATCATGACGGGGGAGTTATGCTGGTGGCGGTGTAAGTTGGATCCGATATTTGGCGTAACGAGTGCCCGACCTGAGTCTGCCGCGATCGTAGGATGGAATGATGGAAGATTTCTTCAAGGCGATCAACAATTGATCGATCGATCGACCATATTTGAGTTGCTAGCATCACGTTCTGTCGACAGGAGTCTCGAAGAGGAGTACAGAAGTCAACCGAGGATGAGTGAGTCGACATCGATGCTTTCTGTGTGTACATCGGGATGTTGGCCCAAATTTTGGTCACCCATGGAGTGGTAACGAGCGGCTTCAAGACAGATCAACTTAGCGGTCAAAGATACTGTGTAGATGGACTCACCTAGCCCTGCGGTTCCACAAGTGGGTGGAGATGCCACTACGATGACGCTGGGTGCAAGGCTCACCTCACCGGTGCTGATCATACGGATACCGAGAACGTGAGGGCCGCAAAACACTGAGAGGCAGGGATTATGGACGTCATATTGAAAACGACATTACGCCTGCCTTCGTGTCGCTGACTTGCGTCCGAGAACTAAGACACATCGGTGCAGAACACAAGTAGGGTTTTACACTCACCATGGTCTGTGCATAAGGGTATATTCCATTTCGAGTTTTCAGGATTGGTATTGATCAATACTTCGTTGTCTCTCGGCTCCAACTGGTAGTCCCAACCAAGGAATCAGTTCGATGGTGGTGGTGTCAGTGTTCCTTGTGTTGGGTTATGGTTCATTTGGAGGGGCGGGTATACTGGGAGGAGAGATGAGAAGTGTTTTAAAGGAAGGAGACGTGGTGAGGAGGTATGTAAGAGTGAATGCTGAAGGGGGTAGATAGACTGGAAGCCACGATCCACAAAGGAGCCGAATACGAAAGCAGATATGTAAGAGGACGGTTTCGAGCACTCGGAGCTTACAGGGAGCAGCCCGTGGTCGCATGAGTCTTATTTTCAGACAAAAGTATTCATCCAGACAATTATGCAGTCTCTCCCTGATAAATGGGAGCATGGTGTCGAGTGAAGGGGGGTCCCCCCACGTTCGGATTCAAGAATTCGTTGGAGTTGCTTATCGATTCCCCCATCGGCTTCAACTCCCAACCTCCAACTCGTTTCGGCTTTGTTACACTCGTCGCTGGCCTCTCTCCTCTCGCATGTCGTATCTACTTCGTCATCAAGTTTTTCCAGAGCCATTCCAGATAGCCCACGAGAAAATCATACATCAACGCGACAACCCTTCATTGGCTCACCGAGGCGTCTATCTGATCTCGTCCATCACGATGGAAGGTATACAGCTGAAGGCTCCAGGACCATCAGGAGGTGCAGAAAACAATGTCATTTACCCCATGGCATGCATGGGGACGATGTCGGCATCGCTGGGAATGCGGGTGCAAAGTGCGTGTCACTTCTCTTCCTGCCCTCCCCTTGTTCTCTTCTCATTCTATACACTGAGATTCATAGGCTCGTCATCACTTCCATCTTTCCCTCATCTAGTGTTCAGGAAGGTCCAACGACGACATTAGATTGAGTATCTGGAAGCAGTGAAATGATGATGGACATGATGAACTCAACGTTCGAGCCCAGAGCTCCCAGGTTTGACCATTATGGTGATAATCCCTCCTAGGTAAAAGTAGAACGTGAAAGATGCCCAGGGAGAGTAAACGACCGAAACCTGAACTGGAAGCTACAATGTATTGGGACCACCTGAGGACCCCACATGTCGTGGACGTGAAGACCACAGCTCTGCATTGACCATATGGTAGGTCTTGGTCTTGGTGCCGGGATGGACGGGTCGTTGAGCCCAAGTACTGCTGCGCAACGTTGGATTCCGGTGACATTTCTATGACAGCGACCTTAATTCTCTTTGTTTAGTGATGCGGCATGGATCTGTAAATATACGTTGTGGTGCATGAAATA